GGATTTAAGTGCTCGCATTGGTAGCTTTTTATTCGAATCATTTCCGCTGTCTTCATTTTAACAGTGGAACATTGAAAAAATCGGAATCTCCGTGTTAATAAAGAGACAGTTATTCTTTATCAACTAACAGGCTTTAGGAGAAATTATTTCTGAAAAATTAAAAAAATTTACTTAATTTTACTTTTTTTTAAAAAAAAATAGGCTGAAAATGTTTAGATGCATTGAAAGCGAATCTCATTGAATATGAAGAGCGTTATGAATTATGTCGAAACGAGAATGCTGAAACAGTGCAGCAGCTCGAGAAGCTATCAAACGATTTCGATCGCCTACGATTGTCATTATCAAAAAATACCGCGGTGGAAGTGGTATGTTCCGGTTTGCGTTCTGACCCATCGCTTTTAGAAAGACACTGTACTTAAATATTGCCAGCAGCCAAGTTTAGTAAACCTTTTTTATCAGACCCGGGTTTCCACCTCCACCTCTCTCCCCCTTTCTTTTGTCCTCTTTTTCGGCTTCTATCTTCTTGCACTTTCTCTTTCTTCCTCTTTCTTCTCATTACGCACTGCGACCGTCATACTGACAAGGTCCAGTCGCTGTGCTAAGTTAGGACATATATGACTTAATGGGCCGAAACGTTTTATCTCGCTCTCACCTTCACCAACGTACACTACTACTTTCTCCTACTCCATCACACTCTGCCATCTGCACTTCCAGGGTTAACTGGAAGCTGCAGTTTGCTTAGTAACATTGTACTGCCGTGAAATAATGGATCATTAAGAAACTTGTGAAAAAAGAAGACTTCTGTCGAAAAAGAGGGCTTCTCTATTCATCCAAGCGTTCAAATGAGCTGGGTGATTTAATAGGTGCATGAACAAGTGGACTTTAGAGCAGTTGCTTGCTCTACTAGCTAATAATTATTTGTAACAGGGAGTTAACTGTTATTTTAAACTGTGTGTGTATTTTTTTATCCAAGAAGCGAATTGCTGCGATTTTAACCTGACCACGACTATTCACTGAAAGAGAAAGCTAAGACCAGTAGTGTCTTCACTGCCATGGTTTGGTGTTTTAACCCAAAATTCTTACCAGAAAAGTCACCTTGAGCGATTCTAATTTCGTCTTTGGTGATTCTTCCCGTTCTTACGACAGTCTGCTTACTGCATCTGCGCAACTCAGTACAAATTGTTGTGCTGTTCTAACTTCTCTTTTTATGTTTATCATGGCTGGCGAGCCACTCTTCGGTCTTCGTTGTCCACTTGCTATCATTTTACGTAGCCGAAATAACGATTAAAATGCTCAGTTAGCAGTCAGCTCTTGGTTTCTTGGTAATAATGCATGCCTGATTTGATAGCCGGCCTTTAATTGGCTGTTTCAGTGCAGTATTTTTAAAGCGATTATTTTTTTATGGCTTTCTTTGAGGCTTTTCTGTTAAATCCTTTAAGGGATGCACATTCGAAAGGAATGAGTGTATTTTTTGAGGATGAACTAAAAAGGCTTCGTACAGAATTGGATGTCTCGAAAGGTGATCGAGAGAAGTTGCGCGCTGATGTTGAACGCTTCCGCGCGGCTATTGGTGTTATCGATAAGGAGCTAAATAGATTACGGTAAATTCTATAGTAATTTTCGTTTTCCCTGTTTATTAAATTCAAGTAATTTTATATTTTTGATGGGACCTGCTAATGCTTCCTTATAAT